CTCTCATGCCTGGGGGCATTAATGCCCACTAGAGCATATCCTCAGGTTGTGGTTGCCCCTCCCTCAGCTGGACCTCCATGATTCCAAGGGCCTTGACCAGGGCCCTAGGGCACAAGGCAATAGTTGGCTGTAGGAATGGTGTGGGGTCCAGCCACCAGAAGACCTATTGAGCTGTCCTCTGAGCCCAAGCTTACACACATCCATCCCCTAGTTCTGGGCAGTCATCCTTACAGATTATAAAACTGAGACTCAGGAGAGGGGAAGCCTTTTGCCCAAGACCTTGAAGAGAGTCAGACCTCATGCTTATGTTTGTTGACCTCCAAATGGCAAGTCTTTCCCCTTCCAGAATTTGTCCTCCTGTCTAGAGTGGACTTTCCTGGTGCTGGAGTTGGAGTCTTGGAGTTTGTGATTCTAATTAGTAGCAAGGCCAGCAAAGAAGGCCTGGTTGAGGGTGGGAGATGTCATTGTAAGGCAATGGCCTCAGACTACAGCTGCTCAGCCCACAGACTTGCCACAGACTTCTCTCACCAAGACTCTGGGGTTGGCCAGTGTGCACAAGGACCACCCCAAGCTAACTTCATGGCCTCAACCCCACTAACTGGGTGTGCCGATGTGGAAGGTGCTGCGGAATGAAGGGCTAAGTTGAGCCTCCCTCCCCAAGGAGCATCCAGGTGCCCTTCATCCTGATCTCCAGGCCCCATGCCACCCCCAGCACCATCTGAGGCTTCAAGGACTAGAACACTCTGAGCTGACCATGGTTCCACTTGGATGAGGTGAGCACAATGGAAGACAAAGGGCCTCCAGGGCCTCATAGGAGACCAGGCAACCCTCAGAATAGACCAGACCCACTGGATGCGGTGGCACACGCCTATAATCCCAGCAGCTTGAAAGGCTGAGGCAGGAGAATCATGAGTTCGAAGCCAGCCTCAACAACAGTGAGACGCTAAGCAACGCAGTGAGACTCTGTCACTAAATTAAAAAAAAAAAAGAAGAAAAAGGGCTGGGGATGTGGTCAATGGTTGAGTGCCCCCGAGTTCAATCCCGGGTACCCATAAAAAAAAAAGAAGAAGGAGAAGGAGAAGAAGAAAGAAAGAAAGAAAGGAAGGGAGAAAAGAATAGACCAGATCCAGGGATCTCAGAGCAACAGGGCTGACTAGGTGGCCCGAGTTCCATCACCCCTGGCCTATTCCCGGAGGGCTAGAGCCCATCCTTTGTCAGGACCATCCACCAGGAAAGGAGTTGCTAGGAGTTGCTCTCCCAAGGGCTGGAAGCAGTGTGACTAGGGAAAGTCCCTATCAGACTTTGTTTCACTGTGACCCTCATAAGATGGCTAGGACCTGGCCCCTCCCAAACTTCCAGATCCTCATGCATGCCTCAATCCCCAGAATCTCCAGTGTACAGGGCTGTGGCCTGGCCTTCATGTGGCTAGCTTGAGGTTCACCTAGGTCTCTGCCTGAGCCTAGGGTGCATTTGAAAAGTGCCAGGTCAGAGTTCTGGGAAACAGACAGCATTGGCTGCAGAGTAGGAGGGCCTTGAAGGTACATGGGACTTCTGAAGCGAGGATTGGGACTACTCCTTGCTGAGATCTCCTGAAAAATACAGACATGTGGTAGAAATTCCTTGGTTATCTCCCAGTTGGACCAGACGCTCCAAAAGGGCAGGCTCAGATCTGAGCCTCTCACTTTGTACCCTTAAGCCAGGGCACCTCCAGGCTGTGGGCTAATCCCCATGTGGGAGTTGCTGGGAGCCAGGCTCTGGGCTGGGGCTCTCCATAAGTTTAGGCAGGTCCCTTCTCTCACAGAGGATTTAGGTTCCCTATTTACATAATAAGGATGGGTAAATTGGTCTCATGCAAGAAGCTGCAGGGGTCTGGCTCTGTCCTGTAGGGATATGCATCCAGAAGGGTACCCTGGAAGGTGATAAACTTGGTTTTGGAGGATAACTAAAAGTTCACCTGTTTGACAATGTAGGGAAGGGCATTCCAGATAGCAGAAACAGCAGGAACAAAACAGCTTTGCCCCTACCCATTTCTTTGGTGTAGTCAGTGGCAAATATATTTCTGTATATATGCCCAATAGTGTACTACATGCACATTATTTGGTACAATTGCTTTTTGAATCAGTTAAGAGTATAAAAGGGAAAAAACACACTTATACTGTCTTTTGTAACTACAACTTTTCTCTTTAAACAGGAAAATAGCTACAAACTTAGGGGACTAGGGGAACATCAGTGTCTAGGACAGGCAGAATGCCCTGTAGTCCTGTCCACTATACTTAAGGGTAACTTATCTAATCCTCACAGCAACCCTCAGAATTAGCCATTGCTGGCTCCATTTTACAGATGGGACCACTGAAGCTTAGAAATGTACTCTGTGATACGTGGATGGTGAGCAACTAGTTGACTTGAAGTCTCCATCTGTCCCACTCGGAAGGTAATCCCCATTCCACATCTGGGGCTATTTTCCCTCTATTGGAGGAAACTTTTACCCAGAGATTCAGGGAAGTAATATCCTGGCTTTCTTCTGAGAGCTGATTCTTACACTTAAGATAATATTGCATGAGGGACACCTGAACACCATCAAGGTATCCAGCCTATCAGAAGTATTTCCCATATGGGGCAGGTGAAAGGTCACTACTTCTGTGAGGAAGGTGTCAGGAGTGGAGGCAGCTGTTGACTATTGGTCGTTAAGGCCCACACAGAACCAGCCAAGAAACTGCACAGCTGGAACGGGGAGTCATTGTGTGACTTGCCCCCAGGCCTGGCAGGAGGACTCACAATCTTGTCTGCCTTCTCTACTACTCCCTTCCCCTGTCCACTCCATTGTTTGTCCTGTGCTTTGAGTCACATTCTCCATGGGGCTTGGTGCATACAGCTAAGCTAACTTTGTCAAGAGCCTGGGCAACAGAAGAAAGAAACCCCCCTCACCTCCTGTAGCCTGAGTTCCATACTCCTAGTAATGTGGCCACAGCCCACAGGGAACACAGCAGAATGAGGCAGTCAAGAGAGGAAAGTAGTGAACAGAGTAGGATGTGGTCCAGGCCAGATGGAGCTACTGGTTGGCCCTAATTGCCTGGGCCTACCCTCCCTATCCTCTCATTTCTACCTCTTTACCTCCTACCCTGACTGCGAACCTCCCCACCCATGTTCATTAATGAAAAATTTTTAAATATAGAAATAATGTTTTTCAAGAATAAAAGGATATCAAGGTCACTGTTGTCCCATCAGCAATAGGCCAACCACAGATTCCATTTTGGCACCAATTCTGCTTGTCTATTGTTTTTAGACATCTCTGAAATATTTCGGTAAGTACTTTCCATGGCTAAGCTGGTCCTATCCAACACACAATTTCAGATTCTACTTTTTTCAGATTATTGAACAACATCAGCTTTTTCTCGTGGCCCTCCATATCCTCCAGTTCCAAATCCAGAGAATCAACCGAAGGTACATTAAAAATATTCTTTAAAAAATTATGTCTGTACTACACAGATACATACTTTTTTCTTGTCATTACTCCCTAAACAATACAATCTGACAACTATTTGCATAGTATTTGCATTGTATTAGATATTATAGCTGATCTAGCCATGATTTAAAGAATGTTGGGAGGATTTAAAGTATGTTGGAGTATGTGCATAGGTTTTATGCAAATACTATACCATATTATATAAAACTGGAACATCCTTTGATGTTCTACTATCCTCAAAGGTCCTGAACCCATCCCTCAGGGACATCAAGGGACAACTGTACAATTGACAACAACTAAGGCAATAGACCTCACAGAATGGGGCTGGGGATGTGGCTCAAGCGGTAGCGCGCTTGCCTGGCATGTGTGCGGCCCGGGTTCGATCCTCAGCACCACATACAAACAAAGATGTTGTGCCCGCCGAAAACTAAAAAATAAATATTAATATTCTCTCTCTCTCTCTCTCTGTCTTTAAAAAAAAAAGACCTCGCAGAAGTTTAAAGTGATTTATTTTTGTATACCCACTAAACTCTCATTACAAGCCCAGGAGATCAATACTATTCTTATGCTAATTTTTCAGTTGAGGAAAACAGATTCAGAGAAGTTGAGTGATTGGTTCCCACAGCTAAGTAAGTGAGAACACTGGGATTCAAACTCAGGCAGTCTGGCTCAGAACCACCACACCAAGCTGGCTGCTACTGTAGAAATTTGTGAAGCATGTTATTACCAGCTCTGTATCATGTTATATCCTGTAGCTGTAACACCCCTTCTTCACCTATACCCTCCAGATGTGTTGGAGTAAGACTGCTGTCAACAAGACTTTAAGACACTCATTGTGTAAACACAATTTTTTGTGTATTTTGGACAGTCTCACAGATCAAATTTCTCGGTCAAAGGATACATACCAGTTGCAGGGCTCTTGCTCCATACTGTTCAACAACTTTACGAGAGGTCAATCATTGGTACACTCGCCATCGGAAGAAGACACCTGCTCTGCCAACAGTGAGGGTATAATAAAGAGAACACACTGATGTTCCAAACTAAGACATCCCAGGACAGGACCCAGTGGATATGAAGTCTCCTAGCCTCATCAACATATGAGATTTTCTAGAAAATGGTCTGAGAAACATGTTCATTATTCCCAGGCCCCTTGGCCATTCTAGGTTTGAAAAGAGAGTCAGGGCAGGGGAGTACCTGTACAAAGGAGAAGGGAGCAGGGAGGCCCTTAAATTCAGAGAGGAAACATGGAAGCTGAGGGGCCAAGTGATCAGGTATCTGCTCCAATCTTAGAACCTACTGTGTGCTCAAAGTTTAACTCACACTAGCCCAAGCCCAACTTTAAACCTGTGCTTAGATAAGCAAACTGGACAAGGATTGCAGGTGGGTCAGTTTATTGAAGAGCCAAGACCATCTAATGTGACCTGTCACCCCAAGGAAGAGATAATTCTGTAGGCTGGTCAGAAGTTGCTCATAACTCCTCCCTTCCCAGGACCTACAGATGGGGTCTGAGGGAAGATATAAGTGGGACTTCCTGGCATTGGCAGTCTGCAGTCACAGCTGTTATCCTACCATCACGTCAGCCTGAGGCAGGAGCTGGCAGGAGCATGAGGTGGATTCTGGGTTTGAGTCTCACCCTGTGCCTGGTGGTACAGACAGCCCTAGGTAAGACCCTCAACCCTTCCTGAGAGTGTCCGCCAGGACAGGTCCCAGCTCAACCTTTCCTGGACAGTGGGGCGGGGGCACTTAGACAAGGTCTAAGCAGATGGAGGACGGAGTTTCAGGGCACTAATCCACCCACCCAGCAGTTGAAAGTCTAAACAAGTCCTTTGGCTTCTCTGAGCCCTAAGACTGCTCTACAAAATGAGAAGGGCATCTCCTGCCTCCCCCGCCACCTCCTTACCCCTGGACAAGTGAAGGGCCTTTCTTCTTTCCCTCCTTCCCTCCTTCCTACTTCCTTCTTCTAAGCAGGAGGCCTGCTTCTGCCTCCCTCTCCCCTACATGGACCTGCTCAATTCTCCCCAGTGTCTTTCTCTTTAAAATTACTATTGTGCTTTTTACTGTGTAAAAAAATATAGCGCATTTAGGTATATTAGGTAACTTTATTTAGGTATGAGACATATACAGCAAGGTGCACATATCTTAATTATACAATATTATATTACATATAAAATAACCACCATCCCGATCAAGATCTAGAACATTCCCAACATCCCATGTACCCATTCCCAATCAATACCTTCAAAGTGAACAACAGTTTGACTTCTGTCATAAATTAGTTTTGTCTATATAAATGCATATGTTTTAATTTGAGGGAAACTTTGCTAAAACTGCTTTAAGCATTTTGCTGCCTTTTCTTTTGTCTTTTTGTTGCACATTTCTAACATAGCTGTGATATTAGCATGTATATTTTATATGCTGCCCTTTTGTTTTGTTTTGCTTTTTCACTTAAAATCTTATTGAGCTAGGCATGGTGGCCCATGCCCATAATCCAAGCTTCTCAGGAAGCTGAGGCAGAAGGATTGCAAGTTCAAGGCTATTCTGGATGACTTAGAGAGATCCTGTCTCAAAACAAAAAATAAAAAGGACAGAGGTGTAGCTCAGTGGTACAGTGTCCCTTGAGTCAATTCCCAGCAACACACACACAAAAAAAAAAAAATTCAGAAGGTAGTTTATACCTTGAGTTTACAGTTATATTTACTTTACTTCATCCCCAGATATAAATGATCCTTCCATTGTCCACTGGGTTCAGAGCAGTCTTTGTTATGCAGATATGGTGTAGCAGCCTGTAATCCCAGCTACTTATGAGACTGAGGTAGGAGGATCTCAAGTTCAAAGTCAGCCTGGGAAATTTAGTGAGAACTTCTTCTCAGAGTAGTTCTCACAAAGGAGGAGGATAAAAGATGAAGCTCATAGGTAGAAAGCTCCTGGATTCAACCCCCAGTATGGTAGGGGTGGGGAACAGAACAGTCTCTGTTTTAATATTTCTGACTATTTTCAAAGCACAGGGGTCCAAAAATGAAATTACTGACTAAAAGTATGTGAACTTTTTATATATTTTACCAAATTATTTTCCCAATGCATTGTATCAATTTATTCTTCACCAACAAACAGTGTAGGTGGATGTCCTTTTCTCTGTATCTTCATCAGAACTAGATGCCATCATTTTTTTCATTTCTCAGCTGGCAGATGAAACTCCAGGTGTTGGTTAGCACAATTCATGACTTCCAATAAGGTAGATAGTGTTTTCATAAGTGCTTCCATGTCACCTCTGAGTAGCAGAGCTGGGATCAGGGCCACTCCATGGAAGCTCTTATTTGGAGGTTAGAGTACTCAGCCCCATGGTTAGGGGGTGGGAAGTGGACAAACACCACGGGTTAGAGAACAGCTCTGATGTGAAATCTTTCTATGTGACCTTGGGCGAGTTGCTCCACTTCAGCAACTGCTTAGTACAATTTGCCTTTTAAAGCTTTGGGGAAATGAGGTGAGATATATAGTGTTGGGCTATAGGAAGGGATCCATAAAGCATAGCTATTAGCTATTCCATCATGAGTGGCCCCTGAATTCAGGGAAAATCCAGGTCATATGACAAAAACTGACCTCCTGGCTCTGACCCACAAGTCCACAGACTGGTCACTGTCCTTTTCAGGGCTTTCAGACCTCCCCAGGCTCTTCCAGGGCCAATGAGAAGCCTATTTGAAAGAGTGTTGGAAACTGTAAATGGTGGCACACATAGAGAAGAGGTGAGATGGGCCCTTGCCCTGCTGACCTGCCTCCATGTCCAAAGTGCCACCATTACAGTCACTCCCTTGTGTCCAGATATTGCTTATGTAAGATCAGAAATGGGGAGACCTCGAGATGTGGGCAGGGAAGAATATTTTGGCCACCTGCAGCTGGGAGTGTGAGAGTGTGCTCTATCACACCAATCCAAAAATCAATTGCAACAAGATTTCCTGGAGATATTTGCAAATCTAATTTCCTGATGCAATCCTGAGATTCTCATTCAGAGAGTGTGGGGCATGGCCTAGGAATCTGTATTTTTGCAACAATCCCCACGTGATTCTGACACACCATAAGGTTTACTAATTACTTACATCAGATTTGCAGAATAAGGGATGTGAGGCCTAACCAACCCTTGGCAGTAGGAGTGGGGCAGGATGAGAGATTAGAAGAGAGTAAAGTACCCAAAGGCAGAAAGAGAGTTGGATTCAACTTGGTCTCTCTCCTATCTATTCCAAGAGCTGGCTATGGTGCCAGCATGCTTGTGTGTGTGTGTGTGTGTGTGTGTGTGTGCGCGCGCATGCACACATGTGTTATATGTATGTATGTTGTGGATTGGATACACTGCAACCTATGTATAACTGTACTTGAATACCTGTGTGCATATGTGCATACAGATGTTGTAATGGAAGCTCGAAAGTATGTGTAACTTGTCCAAGGTCATGGAAAGTGTCTCACATCAGGGCTCTGCTCTAAACCTGCCGTATTGAATTTCTGCATGTTTCTTTGTGAATGAGCTGTGCTCCTGTATACCTAGTATGCACAAATTTGGACATACACATGAGTATTGATTCAAGGTTCCATATGAGTGAGAATATGTATGTTTGTGTGTGTGTATATATGTGTGTGTGTATGTGTGTATATGCATATATATACATATAAATTTTTCCCTGAAACAAGACGGGCAAATATTAGTAACAAAAAAAGAGACGTTGCCGTGGCTGGGGTTGTGGCTCAGTGGTAGAGCGCTCACCTGGCATGTGCGAGGCCCTGGGTTCAATCCTCAGCACCACATAAAAGTAAATAAAATAAAGGTATTGACAACTACAACTAAAAAATAAATATTTTAAAAAAGAGAGATGTTGCCATATTAATAGCAGATAAGCAGAAATTAAAGTAAATGACATATTTATTGACATCAAATGATTCAAAGAGAAATAGACATATAAAAAAACATGAAATTTTATGTAACTACCAACATGACTTTGAAATTTTAAATGAGAGGAAAAAAATGCTGAGAGAAGTACAAGAAAGTGAACATTGACACAATTGTTATGAATAGCTTCAAGCTTAGCTGGGTGCAGTAATACATCACTGTAATCCCAGCAATTCAGGAGGCTAAAGTAGAAGGATTGCAAATTCAAGGCCAGACCCAACAGTTTAGCAAGACCCTATCAAAGAAAGAAAGTGGGGAGGAAGTAAAGAAACAAGAGAGAGACAGAGACAGAGACAGGGAGGGGGAGGGGGAGGACACAGAAAGGGAAAGGAAAAGAAGGGAAAGTGGGGGCTGGGGATTTGGCTCAGTGGTAGAGCACCCCCAGATTCAATCCTCAGTACCAAAAAGAAAAAAAGAAAAAAAAGCTTCAGACTTTTTTATTAAAATGAAAGGCAGTAGCCGGTTCCCATGGCAGAGGGGCCAGGGTTCCATCTGTGGTTGAGAGTGGCCAAGCTGGGATGACCCTTCTCCCTTCTCTTCCCAGGTGCCTTGTACACCAAGAAGCCTCTAGTGGTCACCAAATATGGGACCCTCCAAGGAAAGCAGATACTTGTGGGGAAGACGTCCCTCCATGTCTTCCTCGGAGTCCCCTTCTCCAGACCTCCTGTGGGTTCCCGTAGGTTTGCTCCTCCACAGCCCCCGAAGCCCTGGAAAGGAATCAAAGATGCCACTAACTACCCACCTGCGTAAGCCCAAGGACTGTCAGCTGGGAGGTGGGCAGAGCCTGAGGAGGGTGGTGGGTCAGGCTTTGAACAATTCACTGAGACCACAGGCAGGCCTGGGCCCATTCTAGGCCTCGGTTTCCAAACCTGTATAATATGTTGACAGGTCCAAATGGGATTTAAGGCACTGATAATTCTATTCTAGGTTTCTCACAGGAGAGCTCCAGGCAAGGGGGAGGTGGTCCCTCACTGTATCCTAGGGCCTGCTGGGAAGCTAGGGTTTTATAAATATGTCTGAGGAGCTGTGTGCTCACTCACAGCACAGCCCTGAGTTCTCTCCTCTGGAGCTTGATATCCAAGACAAACCCACATGGCACTACCTGTCCTTGCCTGCAGAGGGAGCTTCAAGATGGGGAATGCACAGGCTCAATTTCAGTCCCTGGGTCTTGTGGCCACCTCCTGCAGGGCTCAAGGCCTGAGGAGTCACAAAGCAAGATTGGAACAATAACTGCCCTTTGAACCAATGGACTTGGAGGTTTATTCAGAACAAGTGTATTTATTGTTTATTGTTTATTCAGAGCATTGAGAAATCTATTGCCCAGAATATTCTATGGCATTCATTAACAATCTTCAGCATCAGCTGGTCAAAGCACAAGTTTAGAAAAATGTCTGTTATGAGAACTTGGATGTCAGTTACTATAAAAAAGCTACAAATCCCACCCTGGGTGACTGGTTGTTAAGAAGAGGTTCCACTGCTAGAACAGGACCAACCAACCAATGTGGGGCAGAGGTTGTAGCATGCAAGAGGCCCTGAGTTCCATTCCCAGCACAACAAAACAAAAACATTATCACTATTACTAGAATACTGGGATATTAATTGTGTCAACACTGGCTGTCAAAGTGTGAACATTGGCATTCTAACAATGTTCACAAACATGTTTTCTAATAAACATTCTGAAACATTTGGAGCCCTGAGCATCAGGGGACAGAACATGGAATGACCATTGCTAGAATCCTGAGGACTGGGGCTTAGAGATTAGGGTGTCTACTGCCTAGATATCTAGGCATCCATTGTTGGAACACTGGCCATAAGCTGTTTGAACAAGGGCTGTTTGAAACAGAGTGTCATATGTAAGAGTCTGTGGATTGCTTAGAAACAACCTGTAGGGTGCGGGTTAAGGAAGAGCAGCCTCTCTAGGAGGCTGTTGCAGACATAGGGGTTTCTACCAGTGTAGTTACAGCCAAGGTGATAGAAAATGGTCAGATTCCACATTCATTTTAAAGGTAAAATTGATGGGATTTACCAGAAAATTGGTTATGACTCACAAGGAAAGAAGAGAAGCCATGGATAATAACTAGTTTCTAGCCAGAGCAGCCAAGGGAATAGGAGTACCATTTCCCCAAATGGGGAAGAGTGGGGGAAGAGTAGGAGTGGGAAAACACAAGTTCATTTGGGACACGTTAAGTCTGGCATGCAGATAGATGTCCATGTGGAGATATGGAATAGGTGGTTGGATGAAGCGGGCCAGAGGCAAACTGATCATCAGCATGAAAATGGCAGGAGTGTTTCAATAGAATAAAGCCCTGGGCCTGGATGAGGACAATTTGGTAAAGAACAGTCAGGAAAAAAAAAAGAGAGAGAGAGAGAGAGAACTGAGGGTTGAGGCCTAGGCACTCTTATGCTGAGATCTGGGAGAAGACGAGGAACCACCAAGGAGGTAGCAGGAAAATCAGGGGAGTGAGGTATTACAAAGATGAAACACTGTTAAAGAATGGGAGGGGGAGCATGGTCAACCACACTGAAGGCTGCCAGGCCCAGTAAGACAACAGCAGGCATTTAGCAAGATAGAGGTCTTTGGGGACCATGTTGGGAGTGGCTTTGGTGGTAGGATGGGAACAGAAGCCTCTGCTGTTCCTAACCCAGTTCTTGGCTAGAAAGCCCCAACTTTCCTGGTGAGAGGCTGGGTGTGGTCGTTGGACACCGACATTAGCTGCTACCTGAGGAGTCAAGCAAGGAAGAGCAAAGACATTCTAAAGTGATAGAGATATATTACCTGCTGAGGACTTTAGAGAATCTGAGTGGGGCTGGGGTCAAGGGAGAAACCATTGAAAAATTCAACCTGGGGGTGGGGGGTGGGGAAGCTAAAATAGTTGCTGGGGAAGGTGAATGGGAAATGATAGGTTTAGATAAGCCAGGTGGAAGTATTGTTTGGAAGGACAGATGAAAGGGGACAGCAATGCTCTAGGGACAGGATAGGAGGAAGAGAAGGAGTAGGCAGACTGGGTTTCCTGAACTCAATCAAATAGGTCCAGCTCCACCCTAACAAGAATAGAAACCCTAGGGTTTGACCAGAAGGCAGAAAAGTTGAAGCAGCCAGACGTCCACACTCTTCAAATAGCCACACAATGCAGGACATTGGGCTGGGTGTCAGAACTCAGATAAATCCACTACTGTCCCTGCCCTCAGAGAGTACTTGGTCACTTGGGGAGAAAAACAACCAATGGAAATAACTCCAACAAGTACCACAGGGCTGGGACAAGAGCTGGCCTTAAACATGATTAGAGGTTTGGTGGGCAGGGCAGGAGACACTTGGCTGAGGGGGAAGAGGCACCAGGGCTTGAAGTTGGGAGGCAGGCAAGTGGCCATATGTATCTGGAGCCAAGGGTGGCTGGGAAGAAGGTGACTGAATGGGAAGGAGGGCCAGGGTCAGTTTGCTCAAACTTCATCTGAGGGCAGTGGGTAGCCAGGGAAGTTTGAAGAAGGGAAGTGACATGGTCAGACTTGTGGATTTTGTCAACCTTTCTGGCTAGAGTGTAGAGGACAAGATGGAAAAGCATAAGAGACTGGGGCAATGTCCAGACCAGAGATTTGATAGCCTCGCCAATGCAACTTCCAGGGGATGGAGGGGACAGGGTATATTCTAAAACTGTTTGGGATGCAGATGGGAAACTGAGGGGGAGTGGGGGTTGAAAAACAGACACCAAGTTTCTCTCTCCACAACACCAGCAATCTCCATCAGGAGCAAGGAGTCACTTCCATCCCAAGATGCAATGGAGAAGGATGGGCCCTGGAGTAACCCACCTATCTCCCAGGCCTGTACCCCAAGACTAGTGGAGGCCTCCAGGGACACACGCAGACACAGACACACACACACAAACACACACACACACAGTAGTTGCCTGGATTCTTGTTTTGGTTCTATCCCCTCACTGCAGACACTGGTTGGAAACATTGTACCCGCAGGTGCCTTCAGGAGTCCTGGGGACAGATAACTTCCATGTACTTAAACACGGGGAAACAATACAAGTGGCTGCGCTTCAGCGAGGATTGCCTGTACCTGAACGTGTACGCCCCAGTTCACGCACATGGGGACCCTCTACTGCCGGTGAGCACTCGGTACTCTGCTACCCACGGTCCCACTCTGCTACCCACAGTCCCACTTTGTTACCCACGGTCCCACTCTGACTTGTTTTGTGGGACAAAACCAAGTCCCACAGAAGGCAGTGTTGAGACTTGAGACACTCAGTGAATCCAGTGCTGATACCCGGCTCAGGCCTTGGCCTTCCTCGCCCAGGTGATGGTCTGGTTCCCGGGAGGCGCCTTCCTTGTTGGCTCGGCTTCCACTTACGAGGGCTCTGAATTAGCAGCCCGTGAGAAAGTGGTGCTGGTGTTTCTGCAGCACAGGCTGGGCATCCTGGGCTTCCTAAGGTGAGCTGCTCCAGGCAGAGAAGGCAGAGACTAGTGGAAGGGGAAGGGCGTGGCCTGTGGGCGGGACCACCGAAGATGGTGGCGAGGATAGTGCCTAATATTTGCTGAAAGGGGCATAACTCCATACTGTCTCAAAGGGGTGATCCTTCCTCTATGGAAGCAGGTGTGGTTGCAGAATTAGGTCTCAGTGGGGAAAGAAAGCAGGGTGGGGTTCAGGTGGAAGCCCTCTGCATCCTGACCTTCGAAATTTGGGTCTCTGATCGTGAACCCCTGGCGGCCCAGCACCAGTGACAACCAGGCCCGAGGCAACTGGGCGCTGCTGGATCAGATTGAGGCTCTACGCTGGGTTCAGGAGAACATTGAGGCCTTTGGTGGAGACCCAAACAGCGTGACCTTGTTCGGGCAGTCGTCGGGGGCCATGTGCATTTCAGGACTGGTGAGCATGATGTCCTAATGAACCAGCACAAACACAGGCTCCCAGGTTCCATAATTGTAACTTCCACTGGCACGTGCACAGATCTGCATGTACATGAACATACTTGCTTCCAGATCTGCCTTCACTGCTTCCAAGGATACCACTCTTGTCAAAGGTACCACCCCTCTTAGCAAAGGGTGTCTGCTCTGTTCAGGGATAGCACTGATGACAAAACCAAGTCCCACAGAAGGGAATGTTGAGACTTGAGACTCTCAGTGAATCCAGTGCTGATACCCAGCACTTCCTGCCTACCTACTTTCTCCCAGCACTGTATTCCCTGAACAGAGCCCACTATCTGCCCTCTGAGCAGAGCTAGAGTCACAAACCAGGCCTGGAAGTTAGGGCCTGGGTTGGAGAACCAACTTTGACCCTGACTCTGGGGTCTGCTGACCTGGGGTGTGCCTGGAAGCACACAATTCTGTGAAATGAGCAGGGATCATGTAGGGCCTTGCAGGTCACCACTGTAATAATAATACTCAAACACCTGAGCACTTTCTGTGTGCCAGGGACTCTTCTAAGCAGCTTACATATATTCCTTCATTTGAGTCCATTAATAGTTCCAAAAGAAAAGTATTGTTGTCCTTATTCTACATATAAAGAAACTGAGGCCTAGAGAAATGAAGCAACTTTATGCAAAGTGCACTGGAGAGCAGGGACAGAGTTGGATTTAGATGTGGATTTAGAGGCAGCTCAGTCTGCTGTATGGGACTGAATTAGAAGTGGGAAAACACTTGGAAGACCAACGAGATAATGGAGGTGGGCAGGAAGGATGGAGAGTAAAGGGTGGTGGCAGAGTGAGGCACACTGTCACATAGACAGGACTTAACTAGGACTTGGGGATAAGCAGAGGAAATAGGGAAGGTCCCTATTGCTGTATTGATAGTGTGGGTGCGATGATAGTCAGCTGGAGTTTGGATGCAGCAGGTGTGGGGCATATGAATTCTGAGGACAGGATAGGAAGCCAGAAATGTGGTTGTTCTCCAGACTGGGGCAATGGAAAGACACTAAGAGCTATCAACACAGGTAACTGGGACTGTAGGAACCATAGGGTCTCTCCTTTACCCTCATTTCTAATCCTATAGCAGAGAAAGACTCTTTACCTACACTAGCAGATCCTTTCCTGCAATCTCAGATTCCTTCTGCACAAACCAGAGGCAGGAAGGCATTGGCTTTAGGTCTGTGACTCCAGCCCAGGATTCCTGGCTCCATCTCAGCTGCTTGTCCTCCTTGAGCCCTTTTGGGCTACTCAGCAAGGGCCAGATAGGCACCCAAAACAGCCTAAGTGGCCTTACTTGTGCATCTCATGGATGCCCTGCTCCTCACCTCTACAGATGTTGTCACCCCTAGCCCAGGGTCTCTTTCATCGGGCCATTTCCCAGAGTGGCACTGTGCTATTCAAAGTCTTCATCACTCGTGACCCATTGAAGGTGGCCAAGGTGGGTATCTCTCTTCCCTCAGGGCTTGGTAATTGGGCAGAATGGGACATCCCTGAGCACCCATGCTTCTCTCTACAGGAGGTTGCTCACCTGGCTGGCTGCAACCACAACAGCACAAGGATCATAATAGAGTGTCTAAGGTCTCTATCAGGGGCCCAGATGATGCGTGTGTCCAGGAAGATGGTAGGTAAAGCATTCTAGCTGCTTGATCTGGCTGCCTGCAAGTTATAGTCACCAGGGAATCTATTTCAAGAGCACATTGAGGAGATTTCTTTGATTCTGATCCCCTCATCTCCCCCCATAGAATTTTTTCCACATGAACTTCCAGAAACAACCTCAAGAGGTAAGCAGGCCACTTTCTGCAACTTGAGTATTTATTGAGCACCTATGGTGTTCCAGGCACTCAGGATACTCAAGGAACTCTTGAAGTCAAGATCCCTCCCTTAGTGGAACTGATGTTCAGTGGGGAGAGACAATAAACCCTATAAATTAATAAATTATTCACCTCCTTAGAAGGTAATAATCAATTGGCCACAAGTGGAGAGGGCAAGGGGGTCAGGCATGGTGGGAGTGATAGAATTTTAAATACAATAGATAGTGTAGGCCTCATTGCACTTGATCATAGCCAAAAGGCAAAGAAACAATACTGCAGGCCTATGTCAATGAAGTGACATTTTGCAAAGATTTTCAAGAGATGAGGGAGTGAGCAATGTGGACATCTGGGGAAAGCATCACAAGTCTGAGTAGCCTGGTTCTGTCTGTCCTGTTCCCTTCTCACACCCACCTTCCTAGAGGTCACCATGGCCATTCCCAGTTTTTTCTCAAAGAGCCTAGGCTAGAGAAACCCCTGGAGGAGGATCTGCTGAGCTGGGCACCCAAGGTCAGAGCAACCCTGGGAAGACATGTGAGATCATTGCCTGGAAACACCCTGGCTTTGCAGATTATATGGTTCCTGAGCCCTGTGGTGGACGGTGTGGTGTTCCCAGATGACCCTGTGGTGCTTCTGACCCAGGGACAGGTTTCACCTGTACCCTATCTTCTAGGTGTCAACAATCTGGAGTTCAGTTGGCTCTTGCCTTATGTAAGTGAGTGGGGTAGCAGAGGATGCTTCTTGGAAAGTGTTGAGCACCAGGTTAGATCCCAGTAGCCTCTCTGGGGATATACAAGTATTTGGGAACCTCCTGTATTCCCTACACAGGGAGATCTGGCTAGGAATGATGGAGGAGAGGGGAAAGACTTGTGGCCTCTTAGAGGTTTTGAGGGCCCTAAATCCTCACTCAAGTCATAGGTTAGATGGATTATAATGTCCATTCCTAAGCCCCCAGACAACTATAAGTCCTGGGTCTCTCCTTTTCTCCCACATCTGGGTCAATTCCCCGGCTCAGAATGGGCCCTCCTATCCCCACTTCAGCTCTAGATCAGGTAGAAGTGACAGAAAGCAGAGCAGGACAGGATCATGGGCCTTTCCTGGGCTGTGTGCTCTGTCTGAGAATTCTCCATTCAAGATGGGCAAGATCTCAGACGTAACCCACACCTGGGTCCCTGTCTTGGGAGCAGATCATGAAATTCCCACTAAACCGGTATTCATCGAAGAAAGAAGTTCTCACTAGGCTGCTCTGGATTACCAGCACCCTGTTGGTGAGGAGCCCAGCTGGCAGGGGTGCTCAGTTTGAACAGAGCTGACACCCCTCTTTTATTCTTTCTTACCTCGTAGGTGCTCTCTGTTAAGAGCCTTCAGCCTGGGTCAGGGTCTTTCTTGGAGGGCCCAAAGGGGTTTGGAATGGGATTAGATAGTTGCCCATGGACAAGGTCCCTGGGGCATCCTCAGGGTCGTGGGAGGCAGTTCTCATGCAGCAAAAACAGGGGTAAAAACAAGCCAAGATGGAGGCCTTCCTGGGAAGCTCCCCATCCCAAAACTCCTGGGGGGCTGAGGCTGGATCCAAGTCACTGGTATGCCCACTTATGGCCTAGCTGGTACAACAGGCCTCAGGGTGGGTATGGCCTCCCCACCCAGAATGTCACTAAGGAGCAGATACCACTTGTGGTGGAGGAGTACCTGAACGACACCCCTAAGCATGACTGGAAGGTGTTCCGAAACCATGTGATGGACCTAGCTGGAGATGCCACCTTTGTGTACACCACGCTGCAAGCAGCCCGTTACTACCGAGGTATGGGAGGAGGTGTCCCCAAGAGTGACCACACTGTTCCCCTCCATTTTCCAACTACACTACTTTCCAATTGAGTTCAACAACTGCTCACCTACCCTCTCTGTACTTCTGGCTGGTGTAGGACTCCAAGATGCCACAGAGAAGGCAGAGAGCTATCAACTGTACGACAGGAAGGGTTGTTCCCTTCCTTGTTCCCGGAGCAAGGACTCACCCAGCCCTAAATAGAAAGCTAGTGTGTCTAGGAAGTCTTCCTGGCTGAGAGGACAAGCTTAGGAGCAACTTGACAGTCCTGCCTAAGTTGAATGGAGCTTAGGCATATGTGAGCGAGAGGTCAAAGGTAGGGATGGAAGACAGATAGTCACCGAAGATCCTTAAATGCCTGGAAAGAATGGGAAGTTCAGAAAAGGAAAGAGGAAGGCTTCCATGATCTTTGCCATAATCCTGTGAATTCAATTTTATTGTCCCCATTCTGCAGATGAGCAGTTGCAGCTCAGAGAGGTTGAGAGGCTTGCCCAGGGTGTTACAGCTAACAAGTAGTGCAGACAGGATTCAAATATGCTCTCTTGATTCTGAAGCTGAAGCTCTTTCTCCTTC